TGTACTTGTTGGCATGCTTTAAGTTTGATAAGGGGCACTCCATATTTACTTACTGAGTTTATCTCATAGTTTTTCCTTGTCCACCATTTCAGGAAGTGAAACCGAGGACGGGGAAACCACAGGAAGTGACGAGTTAGAAGGCTAGTCATATTGTAATTGAACATAGATTTTAAAGATTTGATCTTTAGATTGTGATGGTATCAGAGTATGATATGATTAACTTCCGAGCCTTGTGCACTTGTGGGACTCGTCTCACGAGTGTACGATGTCTGTTGCGCCTCGAATTTGGGTTTTGGGGCGTGACAGGGTAGTCCAAATTCCCTCTAATACTTTTTCACAGGAATCATATCTTACGGCCTAAAATGGGACATCTAAAAAATGAAATCAATTCATAAAAAAGTATATATTATTAAAGTTTTTTATTCCATTTCATTCACAATCTCTCATCCATTGGTTACCATCATATTTTGCATTAATTGAAACCTCCCTTCTTTTCCCTTTAATTCCGTTCTTTATTCTTCAAATATGCTTTCTCTTTGCAAATCTTTATTGCCTCCACAAAATTGAACTTTATATGAAGGAATTCTTTTGGGACTATTGTTTAAAAATTTTTAAATCAGAATAAAAAAATCGAATCTAACATTTATTTGGGTTTTGAGCTTTCATTTTTTTTTCATATTTAGTAACTAATAAATATTAGATTGAATAAAATAAATTTTAGAGTATATTCTAATTTCTAAATATAGGAGTAATAGTTATTAAATATGAAAAAAAAATGAAAATGAAAACTGCAAAACCCACCTAAATGGAAAATGTAAAAAGAAACAAATGATTAGTACACCTTTTAATTTAATATACTTACTAGTATTTCATCAATTCAGTTATTAAATTTCGTAACTTGAAGTTTTTCCACCTTTAATTTCAAACCAAAAATTAATAATTTTAATGAGTGTATTGTATAATATATTAAATTAGAAAGTATCTGTATCCATATCTACATTAAAGGAAATGTTTGGTACATCTTGCGGTTCAACATCCGGTTCAACACACCCTTCGGTTTAATTATTAAAAATATAACATAAATACAGTTAATTCAACCAGTTTCTGTATCCTATGTCCATAATTGTATCATTATATTTGTCTATTTTTAATTTCAAACTAAAAAATAGTGATTTTTTAATGATTAAACCGGAGGGTATTGAATTGGGTGTTGAAATATAAGGTGTACCAATCACTGTTCCTACATTAAAATGAAAATGAAAATGAAAATAAGAAACTTAGGACAACTTTTCAAAACTAGCAATTAAGTTAAGAAAAATATTAGTTTCAAAATACGTAAAAATTGACATAAAATTAAAACTTGTGTGTTCAAAAACTTGAACGTAAGTGTTTTTTTATATTGTGACAACCCATTCCCTCAATGAATGAAAATAACAATGTCTAGGCATATTTAAGCTCCATTTAGTATGGTTGTGGTTTTTAGTTTTAATTTTTATAAATTTTGTAAAAAACCAAAACTTAAAATCAAAAATTAAAAATTTGTTTACACTAAATTTTGACATTGAAAACTAAAAATATCTCATTCTTTAATAGTATTAAAGTTATTTCTATTTTTATTTTTTTAATAATCATACTAATATATTGCAACAAACATATGAAAATAAATGAATTTTTTGTTTAGAGCTGCAAAATTGATAGAAATTAAAACTGAAACCCAAAATCACAACAATATTAAATGGAGCATAAAATATTGTTGCTTCGGTTTTTATTTAGTTTTTGAAATTTCAACTGTCAAAATTGACAATTAAAGTCAAACTTAAATATTAAAATTGACAAGTTATTATTAGTACAAAAGAAAATGAAAAGCATATCATTCAGTTTAACATAACTTTCAACACATATATGACTTAATTATTAAAATATAATATAATTATAATTGATTTAGTTATTTTTTATATTTTATATGCATAATTGTATTTTTAAATTTATTTGTCTTTAATTTTAAATCAAATAATAATAATTTTTTAATAACTATACTGTATAATGTATTAATTAGAGTGTGTATTTATCATTATCTCATTAAATTTTCTACAAACTAAAAACTAAAAACAACATCTTTAAACAAGCCTTTTTAGTTTCAAAGGGTGCGAAAAAGCTGCAGCTAGGTTTTTTTTCTTTTTTTGAAATCCAATTAAGATACTAAACGGATTTTTCTCTAATGTTTCCAAATTTTAAATTACTGAAACTAAAAACTAACAACAACATTCACGACACCCAACAGATGCTTAATGAAGGGGCTGCTGTAATTGTGAGGGGAGTATTTTCCCTTCTTTTGATTAGATCTTTAAAATGATTGAGGAATAAGAACCTAAGCCGAACAATGAGATGGCTCTGTTGGAAATTTTTATGTGGGCTGTCATTAATTGCATTTGGTTTTTAAAATTGGGTCAAATGGAAAAACTGATAAAACTTAATAAAGTAATGTGATCCAAGTGGGTTTAGGTTTTATCTTAGTTTTATATGGTGTGATATGAATAGGTGTAGGGCCTGAAAGTAAAGGTGGGCTACTTGATGAGGGTGTCCAAAATATTATTATAATGGGTTAGGTCCCCTCTACCATTAAGAAAACCCTGACTCTATAAATAGTAGAGTTAGGCAGTGGCATGACCCATTAGTTGTCACTATACAGAAGTTGATTAGGAACAAGAAGACTTAAATCCCAATACTAACTATATTTGTTTTGTAGGTTTTGTCATGAGATCTCTAATTATAATAATTCTTGAAAATCCTTGAAAATTCTTAGGTAATATATTGATTATGAGGATATAAGTATGCAATTTACTTATTTATCAATTTTGTGTATTACATATATTACTAATTTGAATGATTTGGTGTTTTAAAATCTAATTTGTGAGATTAATTATTTAAGTAAATTCCAATAGGCTCACCTCTTTTGCAGGGATTGAAATCCTTGAGAAGAATATATTTGAGGAACTCTGTGCTTCTCAAAAATTTTTCTCCTTTTTTTCCACTTAAAAAAAAAAACATTTATATGTTTTGTCAATTTTAAACAGGTACAGAATGCAAGTTGGTAATATCTTGGACCTCTTTCCTTTCCACTATATCTAGCCATCACTATATATATATTCCTCTTCCTTTCTTATGCCTCATGTAATATCCCAAATTTTCTGAAATTCTAGCATTTAAGTTGAGGACCTTTGTGTGAGAAAATATCATTTTGGGGCTTATTAGCTAAAATATCCAAACTTAAGGGACTTAAAAGAGAAAAAGATTTGGATAAGGATCAGCTATTTTTTTCCTTCTTTCTCCTTCCTCACCTGCGCGTTTGCTCTTCTTTTTCTTCTCCCCTACACCAAACAAGAGCCCCAAGCCCGACAGCACCTCCCCTTGAGAACCGGTAAGAAAAACTTGATATTTTCCTTCCTTTTCTTGTTCAAGAACCAGATTTAACCTTGGAAACTCCCCCCCCCCCTCTGCTGAATTTCAGATCTACTCTACTCTTCCTCCCTATCTGCCGGTGTTGCTAGGCACGAATTTCTGGGCTTTTTCTGGTAAGCCACAGCCATGAACTTCATCTTTTCAGCTTGATTTAGCTTGGGTTCATTTTAAATCTGTTGTTCCTTCAATTTTGGGTTAATTCCGTGAGTCCCCTGCAGAATTGCCGCCCGCTTCTCCCCCCGCCAGGTCCAGTTCTGCAGCTGGAAAAATTCTAGTATGTTGACAGCTCCTCCAAGCCCGAAATTTCATCAATTAGTTGCTGAATTTTGTCCATTTATTTGCTGCCCTGTGCTGAAAAATGGGGATGAATTTCGGTATTAATTAGAGCATAATTAAGCTTAATTCATGTATAATTGCTTGAGTTGACTGCTGTGAGATTTTGGAGAGAAATCCCGTGAGATTAGTTATGGTTTTGCCAATTTTTGGAAGTTGCAGTTACTGTTCACGGGTACTGTTCATGCACTAATGGCGAACAATAGAAGGGTTTAAATGTTAGTTATACTGAGAATGAAATTGAGATGTTTGGTCATATGGTTGAATTTCGTGTGAAGCTCATTGGTTAGTAAATTTGTGAGGTTGTGCTAATAATTCTAGCAAAGTTTGAATGTATTTATTTGGAATATTAGGTGCTGTTATGGCTTAGAGCACTGGGATTGAGTCCTGGCTTTATGCGATTGAGGTAAGTAAATTATGGTAATGCCCTTCGATTTCAAAGCATGTTCTAAATTGTTTTTGAGATGGCGGTAAGGTTTAAATTGATTTTATTAGCACCGAGCATGATTGGTTGAAATGAAATTGTTTTCATTTGCATTGAGTAGAGCATGCCTACTTGGAATTGACTGATGATTTGAGAATTTTTGTAAATTATGATTTTCTGCTAAATTCATGCCCACATAGAATTTTCTGGTTATTTCTGAAATTTGAGATTGATTATGAATTACGAATTTTTTTGTAAATCCTGCATGATTTGTCTCTGATATAGTCATGATAACTAACACCCGCTAGTGGGAGTTTGCAAACACTGGCTGTAATACCCCAAAATTTTGTGATATTTAGCACTTAGTTAAGGACTTGATTGTGAGAAAATATTGTTTGAGGTCTAATAGTGAATATTCTAAAACTTGAGGGACTTAAAAGAGAAAGGGATTTGGATAAGGATCCACTATTTTTTTTCCTTCTTTCTTCTTCCTCACCCGCGCGTCTGCTTTTCTTTTCTTCTCCTCTGCAGTCGAACAAAGCCCCCAAGCTGCCGACAGCCCTCCCTTGAAGAAAAACCGGTAAAAGCTTGGGGATTTCTCTTTCTTTTCTTGTTCTAGAACACATATAGAACCCAGAAATCTCCCCCCCCCCTCTGCAGAAATCCCGGATCTGCTCTGCTCTGTTCTGCTCCTCACCGTCGGCTGCTCTTGTTTGTGGGTGCGAAATTCTTCAAATTTCTGGTAAGAAACAGCCATGATTCTCCTCCTTTTAGCCTTAAATTAACTTGGGTTACTCTAATTTGTGCTTGTGGTTCTCCAATTTTCGGTAGATCCCCCTGAATTTCTCCTTCATTCCCGCCGGCTTTCCCTAGCTTGCAGCTCCGGTTTTTGCTGCTGAATTTTGGTATGTGACAGCCATTTTAAGCCTTAAATTATCCATTAGCTGCTGAGTTTGTCCATGAATTACTGCCCCATGTGCTGTCCGAATTTTGTTGAATTAGGGGGATGAATTCTGGTAGCTTTAGGACAAAATTAAGCATTAATTCAAGTGAAAGTTATGTGATTGAGTGTTAATTGACTGTTGTGAGATTTTGGAGAGAAATCCTGTAAGATTAGTTATGGTTTTGCCAATTTTTGGAAGTTGCAGTTACTATTCATGGGCAATGTTCACGCACTGATGGCAAACAATTAACTGGGATTAAATGGTTAGTTTGTAATATAAGAACAAATTTGGAGATGTCTAGTCATGTGGAGACTAATAGAAATAGTATTGTGATTAGGGGTGATCCTAATGAAGTTTTCACTTTGAATTTGTGATAGTAGGGTATTAATTATGGAGTATTTTGATTAGGTTCTTGATCATTGGTTGCCCTAGCACTTGGATTGAGTCCTCGGTTTAGGTGATTGAGGTAAGTAAATTACGGTAACGCCTTTCGATTTCAAAGTAAAAGCATATTTTAAATTGTTTTTGAGATGGTGACAAGGTTTAAATTAATTTTATTGATTTAAATTGATTTTATTAGCACCGAGCATGATTGATTTGAAATGGAATTATTTTTGTTTTCATAGAGTAGAGCATGCCCACTTGGAATTTACTGAACTGCTATGATGATTTGAGAATTTTTGTAAATTATGATTTTTTGTTAAATCTATGCCCACATGGAATTTTCTTGTTTATATCTGAAATTTGAGATTGATTGTAAATTACGGATTTCTTCTGTAAATTTTGCATGGTTTTGTCTCTGATATAGTCATGATTACTGTGCCCGCTAGTGGGAGGTTTATAAACGCTAGTACATGTCGACATGTTTATTGATAGGACCGGTTCATTCTGAAATCCTGCCAATGGGATAAACATTGGTTACTACTGTGCTCGCCAGTGGGAGGTTTATAAACGCTAGCACATGTCAACATGTTATTGATAGAACCGGTTCGTTTGAGTGACCTTGCTAGTGGGGTTATACACCAGCAAATCGTGTGCCTGTCAATGGGAGGTTTATAATACTGGCCATGACCTATGGAGGAGACATCTATTTCATTCCCGTACTGTATCCGTTTTTTGTAACTATATTTTTTGGCATGCTACGAGTTTAATTAAGGGCTATACATATTTACTTATTGAGTTATCTCATAGTTTTTTCTTGTCCACCATTTCAGGAAGCGAAGTCAAGGACGGGAAAAAACGAGGGAAGTGACGAGTTAGAAGGCTAGCCATCTTGTAAATTTGATATAGATTTTAGATATAGATCATGCTCTTGTAAGTTAGATTTTAATTGGAGATTTTATAAATTCATTTAATGGATTATTAGTTTACAAGAGATTTGACCTTGAGATTTTGAGCTTAAGTCATGTTGGGCATAAAATTATTTTGAAATATTTGATTTAAGTTATTGGATTGTTAGAAGTGAATTGGATAAGTTCCGAGTCTTGTGCATTTGTGGGATCCTCTCACGAGTGTACAGCGTCTTACATGTCCCGGATTTGGGTTCTTGGGCATGACAGATTTAGTGGTATCAAAGTTTAGGTTTAAATTAAGAGCTTAGGATTAAATTAAGCACCTCTAGATTGAGTGGTATTAGAGCTTAGGTTTAATTAATACCTAGGTTTAATTGAATACATAGGACTTGTTTAGCACTTGGCTGGCCAATGAATTTTAGAACCGTGGCGAGACGAGTGATGGGGTTATATAAGGGACGAATCTGAGTCATGTTGCTTGAATTTTCTAATCCATTTTGATGAGATGGTAATCTGATTGTTCTTGTTTCTTGCCTTCATACCCTGTGTAGATTCATGAAATTAATCTTGTCCACCATGTTCTTAAGACTTTATTTTGAAACTTGGTCATTTTCTGATAGTCTGCACTTGTTTAGACTAGTTACGTGAATAGAATTTTTGTATGCTCTTTTGCCACCATTGTAAAATCTGGAGAGTTGCAGAGATCTTTTGTTATTGATCATGTTGGTCTCTACAGCATAGCTGGTTAAGAAACTTGTTCTGTTTGTCACATAACCAGTGGAAGATGGGCAGATCCTCTACTTTGTAAGAGATTCAAGGCTATTTTAGCAAATGTTGTGTGTTTTCTAGATATGTTTTAAGAGCTGGATAACATGGTAATTTCGCTGCTCATTATCTTTCTGAAAGCCTTATAGTGAAATTTCACTTTTTCCATTTAGAGCTTCGTGGTCTTTTCATGTGGCTCATTTTTCTATATTGGTTAATCAAAAAAAGTGATCAATTCAATTGAAATTGCCTTGTTTTTGTGAAGATTGGCAAGTTGTCATAAAGTTAAACTCTCTATTGTTGCTAATCTCTACATTCTTGATACTTGGAAACTGCTTGAAACTCTTGAAATCCATCTTGAATCTTTCTTGATATTGCTTTGTACTTGTTCTTGAAACTGAAATCCAGAAATGGATAATGATTATTGAAATCCTTATTATCTTGATACTTGTCTGAAACTATTTCTTGAAACTATTTCTGGCATTGTGCTTGGAATCGGTTCGTAAACCTTGCTTGAAATTAATTCTTGTTGGAATTCTACTCTTGAAAATCGACTGATATTGTTATTGGAATCTATTCTTGAAAATCAATTGATATTTGGTTTTTGGAATCTAGTTTGAGTTG